TGCCAGGCCCCAGGCAGGCAGAGCTGGCAGCCTGCAGCCATCCTCTAGCACCTCAAACCTCTCTTGCCACAGATCAGTGGGCTGGCATTATGTGCATGGTTAGGCAGCCCTTTAAACCATGCCCTGCTCGGTTTTGCAGGTTTGGGCACTGGTTTTCTGGAGGTTTTAAGGCACTTGCAGATATAGATAGGTACATCTTCCTGGGTGGTGATCCTTTAGTTCCAGGCTTTAGCTCAGTGAATCAAGTCCTTAAATATTTTTGTGTAAGCAGCATAATTTGTGATGAGAAGTGTCTATGGATTGCCTCTTTTCATCACTGTGGTGGAATGCTGAGCTGTGCTGGCCAGTGGAGAAAGATTTAAAAGCAGTTATTGCCATTACTTTTCAATTTCCAGTCTTAGGAACATATGAAATATATTGAAGGAATGCAAGAAAAGAGCACTTTGTAACAGCCAATAAAAACCATGAATGATGAGCAATTAAACAGAAGAACAGCAAAAAAAAAAAATAAAAAAAAGAAAGAGCAGAGGTAGAAATAAATACAGGAGAAGGTTTCCTGTTCCAGTTTTTAGCATAACATCCCAGAAGTGCATTTCCTCTGGGGTGGCAATGGGCTGACTTCCAGAAAACCAGATTTTATCATCCAAAAAAGCCACAGTTGAACAAGCTGTTGCTTGAGCTGTTGTATTGCTCAATCAGAGAACTGAACATACAACCCCAAGACTTGGGAGCCCACTGTGATCTGGTGTGACACCGTTGTTCTCCTCATTTTTGGGGTCAGGGAGTCATGAGGACACTTTACTGCAAAGTACCCCAACAAGTGAGGAGGGACCTCTCCTGTGCCACCTTGCTCAGCACCACTTGCTCAGAGCTGGGGTTATTGATTGCTCTGTGCCACTGCTGGTGGACACAATGTTTTGGTAAAATTAGTGCAAAATGCTACCAGCTCAACAGCATTTTGTGTTCCCTTTGTCCAGATAATGCTGAGACCAATCTGCTTTTGTTTCCAGTTTATTATCTTGATTTTCTGTAGGCAAGGAAGGAGCCATGTGCCCTGCCTTTTCCCACATGGGAGGTCCTGTGTAATGGAGACCAGTCCCAGAAAGTGTCTGCCCCTGGATTTTCTTTTTTGCTGTTTTAACCAGTGCAGACACATTTTCCCATCTCCAGATCTCAGTTTAAATGCCATGTGTGGGCAGCCACCTGTATCATCAGTCATTTTGCATGTTGGGGTGTGGAAGTTTGCCCTTCACTACCATCTCACCCACAGCACCTCCTCCAGAGCACCAGTTATCAATTGAAATGGGAATCTGATTTCCTTCTGAAATGAGAGGAACAGCAAAACACTGTGTGTTGAATTGGACTAAAGTTCATGGAAGCACTTATCTGCTGACTGCAGGTTTAACTTCAAGTGCTTTTCAAGTGAGGTTTTGAGACGTTTTTACCACATGTGAGCTTTTGTTTCCGGGAAAAGTGGAAAAAAGTTTTTATGCCCAAGGTGGACTTCTTTACAAATATCTGATAATCTGGACTCCATTTTTACTTGCCATGGTTTATATGATAAAGCTCAGAATGGGGGCAGTACTAAACAGTTTGAGATAGGTGTGTGTTAGAATCACAGAAAACCAGGAGGGACCTCTCATGGTCGTTAGAGAATCAGAGCTTGATGTTTTCTCAGGATCTTGTGTAGCTGAGTTTTGAAAATCCTTTGAATTGAATATCCTTTCCAGGTCCCTGTTCCAATTTCATATTGTGCTCAGGGGATGATTTTCTCTTCAGCTGGAATTTCCCTGCTGCAGCCTGGGGGTGCTGCCTCTCATCCTGTCACTGTGCTCTTCTGGGAAGGGTTTGCCTCTGTCTACACCACCTGCCTTTTCCATCATCCGAAGCACCGTCAGTACAATAAGACAAATCTCCTTGAGGTTGTTTGCTTGTTTGTTTTCCTCTCAGTGCTTCCCTTGTTTCTGTATTCTGGGAGTGATTGACAGCAGAGCCTTATCCTCTGCCTATTGCAAGCAGCTGTGTGTTTGGGCTCTTTCAAAGAAAGATCTTGTTTCTATTTAGTACTCTTGAAAAGAAAACTTTGGAAATGCATGAACAGAAAAAAGACATTAGGTGTTGTGAGCAGAGAAGTCCCTGTCCTACGTTCCTGTCTGCCAAATAATAATGTTAGTTACTTTCAAGCTTAGTAGTGCAAGAGGTTCTTAGTCTTTGTAGAGTTGGCCTCATCCTGCTGTGAGCATAATAGTACCAGTTAACAGAGAACAAAAAGGCAGGTAGTTAAAACCCTCAGGTCTTCTTTGGTGGCAGGTAAGGTGGAAACCAGGTGCCAGCTCAGATACGACACAGGCCTTGCCTGAAAACTTGAGATAAGACCAGCAAATTTCTAATAAAAAGTCAAATTTTATTTCTTGACAACACCCAGGATGGATGTCCCAGTGACAGTTGTACAGCTGTTTCATTTCAGTTTAAAAAAAAAATGGTAACTTTTTTTTCAAAAACATTACTATATATTTTGGCAAGATTTCTCATGTAAAAAGATGCAAAAGTTCAGGCAATATCCTGTTTAGATGTGTTTCTATTTGATAATAAAAATGGCATTGACAGTGAGGGATTGCACCGAATAAATCGTTACTTGTGAGTTCTGTTTCATGCTGAAGCCAGGATGTGTCCTGTAAGTTCACAGCTGTTTCAACTTTCTCTTTTCCTCATCTAGACAGCTGTATGTCCATGAGATTTATTTCTTGATCTGTGTGGACATGAAATCCTTCTTGGGATTATTGCCATAGAAACAAGCAATAACATAGAGCGTGTTAGAAGTAACAAATGGGATTTGGCAGTGCTTCCCATTTACTACACAGAGTCTAAGCTGTGTACAAAAAGCAGCAATTATTTGTTCTCAGAACCCTATTAGCAGGCACATCTGCACATTCATTAAAACCAGATACTTCAGCTTCCATCCTGGCTGGGATGACATTCAGATATTCTGGTCTTTAAACTAAAATCCAGTGTGTATTTTATTTTTCAGTCGAGGTAGGAATCTGTTGGGTTTGGCATTTCGGTTCCTTTTTGGTGCTTGCAGATCCCAGAGGCAGCCCGTGTGAGCCTCCCAGGAGGAGATAAGATGCAGTGATCAAATCGCTGGCTCCAGGGAACGGTCCCTCCTTTGAAGGATGAAGTCACCCAAGTTTTGCTTGTAAAGCCTGATCTCCCACGGTGCTGGGACCCAGCTCCCAGCCTCTCCCAGGGCTTCACACCCTGCCTGGCTCACAGGACACTGCCCTTCTCATCCTGGCTCTGAGTTGGCAAAGCGCAGCAGCCTGAGCTGGAGGAGTAGATGGGTTGTGCCAGGCAGAGAGAGGGTTTTACAGGAGTGGCCAGAACGTGCTGTGCCTGTAGCTGAAGGTGAGCTGACTGTCTGGGTCACAGCACGGCTGCCGATACATGAGGGAGAAAAGCAAACTCAAAATTTTGAGCCAAATCCACGGGGCAGCTTTTGAAGTTGTATGAGATGGTAAAGAGGCAGGAAAGCAGATGGGACAGAATACAGAAAAGGGCAGAGAAATATATTAAAAACTAAGGTGTGTCTGCTGGCTGAGTGTGCCCAAGCCCCGGCAGGCTGAGATGCAGCAACAGGTACTGCCAGCCCGTGGCCCTTCCGATGTGGGAGGTTGGTGCTGGCTCAGCAGACCCTGGGGTGCAGATCTTGCTCTTCCAGCAGGCAGAGGCTGTGCTCAGAAGGGAGAGCTGGAGTCCTGGGAGAAGTTCTGCAGCTGCTCGGGGCAGCAGGGGTTGGCTCTGGTACTCTTCCCACCCCTCATCTGTTTCCCATCCTCCCTTGCATGAGGTAAAATCAAACAGAACCAAATAGTCAGGTCCCAGAAGGGTCCCTTGCTCAGGATGATGTATTTGCAGACCTGTGAGGGAGCATGCACTGTCCTTTTCCCAGTCCATGTCCTGTAATGCTGCCTTTAGCTGACGAGCGGCTTCCAGGGAGGATTTTAGAGGCAGCTTGAGATCCTTTAAAGCTCTCAGGGCAAAATCTGTCATACCTCTGCATCAGTTCAAAAACAAAACAACTTTGCTCAACAGAAGGAACATTTAAAGCTGATTGTAAACCTCAAAATAAGAGACGAAGCCTAGAATGCAGCCTGAAAAACCCAGAGAACCGAAAAACAGGGAGCTTGAAACTGGGCTATGTGCTTGGAGTCTGCCTGCCCTCCTTTTCCAAAGTGCTGAGGACTCTGCATCTCTGGTGAAAGGGATGAGTGCTCAGGATCTCTTTGAAACATTTATTTAGTACCTAAGTATAGATCTAGGACTGACTAACTTCAGGCTCCAAATATAGTGCAGGTGTCTGCCTTCTCCCTCTTCCTCATTTCTCTTTTCCCTGCTCTTTAATCTCTTCATCAGCTCCCACGTTCTCTGTTCTCTCCAACTTACTTCATTTTTCCATCCTCCCCCAGTTGACTTCTGCTCCTGTTTCCACCTCCTCGCTCACTCTGACACCTCCTCTGTCCCATGGGAGCCACAGGGCACTTTTCAAGGTCCATCCTGAGCAAGCCTGAGGTGGCACTTCTGTTCTCTACTCTCTCCCTCAGTTCTCTCTGCCTCATTCTCGGGACGGCAGTGGTTCAAACAAACTGCTCCATTCTGCTCAGGAACTTGCTGAATTCAAGTCCCAGGTATCTCTCCTCTCCTATGTGGGACTGACCAGGGATGGCAGCAGAAAGGGAATCACCACAGACACTCTTGTTGGGATTGGGAGCCCAAAGTAGCTGCCATCACTTTCTGGCCCAAAACCAACTCAAAATGTCACATTTTCCTGTGTGCTTCCCATCACAGGCATGATCTGCCAATGCCAACAATAAAAGCAGTTATCATGAAGGGACTGTGTTAATTCTGTGAACAAGAAACTCTCGTTGGTGTCTTGTGTTTTTCAAATCAACCAGGAGACAGAAGTGGCCGTGGGTCTGATGGGTCTTGTCTCTCTCTTGCAGGAAGGCATGCCCCAAACGCTGAGTTCTACCAGTATGTTTACCCCATGTGGCTTCAGCCCTCATCTACATACTTCGAAAGAAGGTGAACAAGGAGGACTGATCTTCCAGGATGGAAACCTTACCTCAGCATCTCTGGATGCTCTAATCCAGCATCTGATACCTACCACTGATTACTACCCTGAAGTAAGCAATTCACGGGATAATAAACGGTTTAATTCTGATGAATTGGGGCAGCACTTTATGCAAAAAGTGCAAATGTGTTAAATTTTGAATTAAGAAGGCTAATTTAAAAGCTGCATACAATTAAAGCTTGGTAAATTGATGCATTGCTTTAAATGCTGCTTCACTGCTCTATAATTGTTCCCATGAAAAAGCAGATCCCAAAGATGATACTGCCTTTAAATAAGAGAGCAGGGTTGGGGGGAGCTGTCCTGGTGATGAATTAGTGATGTAGCAGTTGGAACAGTTCAAAAATAGCAGTGCATCCCAGAGAGGTTTAGAGGAACACTGAAGCAAAAAACTTCCAAGTCTGAACTGGCATTAAATTAGCTGAATTTCAGTGGCTGCTGAAGTCAGCCAGGTTTGCCTGTTATGTACAAAGCATTCCCTCGGTGACAACAGAGATGCTTCTTCTGATGGGTTCATAATTTACCTGGGGTTCCAGTCACACCAGCTTTGCAGTCCCTGGACAGCACAGCCCAGATCCTAATCCTTGTTCCGTCAGTGAATATTGTTTTTCTTCACCAGCAGTGTGAGGATCTAAACTGGAAGCAGGTTTATGGTCCTGCAAGCTATTGACTTCATTGGATTTCGCACATCCTCCCTGGAATTCAGACACAGTTTGACTGGAAGACTTTTAAGTGCTAATATATCTCCATGGAAAGGCTTGTATTTCAAAGCACAGAGTAGCATTGACTTCTGGGCACTTTAGAAGACTAGGAAAGTTATCAATGCAGAGCAGGCAGCATATTTTAAATTACCCGGAGCTCAGTTTCTGATCAGCTAAAAATAAGTAATGAAGAGGCATCTCAATAAAAAAAAAAAAAAAGGAATAGAAAGGCAATAAAAATAGGTAATGGACAGATCAGGCTGTGAGATTTTCATTAAGCAATGTGTGATATGTAATATTATACCTGCTGCTCAGGAGCATGGCTAGGGCTGGGGGAAAGAAGATAATTCAGGTGCCAGGCGGGGTCAGGATGCAAGCAACTGAGGCTTCATGCATATATTTTAAATTCACTGCTGGGATAATTTAAATAATCCAAGGATTTATCCAGCAGACCTGCTTTCCACAGCTTCACAGATGTGGAACTGCATATGATGTGACTTGGTTGATAGAAATGAATTTTGGGGAGTTAGCAGAATAAATGAAATGTTGGTTAAAACAGGCTGGATGCAATTTGCAGGGCAGGAGCAAGATGTGGCTAATGTGGGGGTGTCTGCAGCTCCCAACCCAGCACAACACAGAGATTCCTGAGTGTCTGCACGTTTAGATTTACTGGCTCCCAGTATCCTGGTTGTGCTGTCTCCTGTACCTGGGCTTGCTCCTGCAGAGTGACCTACACACTGTCTTTGCTGGATATTTAGGCAAGCAAGGGCTGGAAGTGGATGCTGTGGAGAAGAGATGCCACTGCCTCCTGTGCCCAGTATAACCAGTTCCATATTCAGGGTCAGTAATCCTTATATCTTCCAGACATAAAGGTCTTGCCCAGTGAAAACGCAAAAACTGTGGAGTTCAGGGCTTTTATGGTCAATATTGCCCACTGTGTGGCTGCTTACAGCAGGTCTGCTTGTGTTTCTCCCACAGAAAGCCTATATCTTTACATTCCTGCTGAGTTCCAGACTCTTCATCGAACCCCATGAGCTTTTGTCCCGAGTTTGTCACAAGTGCATTGAGCAGCAGCGGCTGGACGACCCTGTGCTGGACAAGGTTAGTTTACCTTTGCAGCAGAAAAATGTGAGGTGTTTCCAATGGGCAGAGAATTCTGAGGCTTTGCTCTGTGTCCTTTGCCTCCCTTTGGGTTGAATGAAGCTTTCTCACAAAGGATGACGGCTGCTGCTGAAATCCTGACATTGAGGCGTCCTAGTATCCATGTCTGAGAGCAGTGCTCCAGGCACTAATCACTTCAAATCTTCTTCTAATTTTCCCTTTCCCCTGTCTCAGTCTTCCCAGGTGACTTTCCTTCTTAACTTCTTTAAGGCTCTGATGAAGCCTGCGGGATGCAAGGAGGTAGGATGTGAACCTCACTCACTGTCAGCTGCAGATGTCAACACACCACTCTCCCATTTTTACTCAATGCCTCTGCCCTTTTCCTTTCTTGCTTCTGGCACAGTAATATTTCCTCCTGGCCTTCCCTGTGCCTCTGAACACTCTGTAACTGCGTGCAGGTACCCACTCACCTCAGTGCTGACAGACCGGCCGCACGCCGGCGGCACTGCCTGGCACACCAGGAACGAGTGGAAACAGCAGTGAGGCTGTGACAGGCAAACAGATGAGAAAATCCAAGCTGTTCCTGCCTCAGCACTCCTCCTGCTTTGCCCCAGGGACTGTGCAGGCTGATACAGTGTGTAGCAACACATGTGCACCCTCTGGCAGTGCCACGGTGGTGACGGATCCCACTGGATCCTGTTCAGTGCTGGATTCTGCCCAAGCTTTCCTGGGTATATTGAAGACCTGTCCTGTGCATTACCTGGAGCAGGAGATGCACCTTCAGAGCAGTAGAGGGGGGGAAAGAACATGCATTAGTTGCAACTTTCCAGAACCCCCAGGATTCTGAAATGATTCTCAGGATCAGCCTTTCCAGCTTTGAAACAGTGGTTTTGGCATCAAATACTGAGTCACCAACATCTGAACACCTGTGCTTGTTTTTGCACAGGCACCTGGTTGCATGAGTAACAGGAGCTCTGCCTTCACTGTGGAGAGCCATTCACCAGACTACTCAGCAATCTGAGACTTGGATTGCCCGGACACTCTTTGTTAATAGAAATATTTGTGTGAAGTGCACCAAGCAAAACAGGTTTTATAAGCTGTGATAGGTTCTGCTCTCCAATTCTATGACAGATACAAGTTTAGGAGGATTAAAATGTGAGCATTGCACAGTTTTGCTGCTCATTACACTTTCAAGAAATGAGAAAAGCTATCTTATTACAAAGATCTCTTATCTGCCTGGAGTGAATCTGTGTTTTGTAGTAACACAGGGTGGGTGGGACACAGCTGATTTTGTGTTCCTGAGAGTGGGGCCCACTTTGAAACTTTGCACACAAGAGACCTCCCATCCCCTGTGTCCTGTGACTTGCACAAAGTCCCCTCCATCGATTGGTAATACAGTTTACACAGCTGGAGCAAATGTCTCCCCAGACCTTTGTAGTTTCCAATAAAGCTTTCCCTTTAGCAGCCACCTGCTGGTCTTTGAGCCTGAGCTTAATGCTAGCTGACAGCAGTTATTTTTAGAGATGTGGTTCATTGAAACCTGTTGTTGGTGGAAAGCTGAAATATGCATTTTAACCACCTTGGTTGAAAAACAAAGAGCTGGGGAGCTTAAGAGTATAATTTTTCCTGATTACAGGGTACACTTTAGCTGCAGTACGTAGGATACAGAAGAAGGCTGTTTGTTTCAGTCTTGTTTTCTGTAAATAAAAATGCAGTTTGTTGTTTAACACAATTTTCTTTTCACATGTTCTTGGATAACAGAGGATGAAAGCTTTGGGAGCAGCTGTGCTGGCCATCTTTTGAGATAACACTAATGCACCAACTGTGCTATTCCCCACATTTCCCTCCTTGCCCCATATCATCCTGACTATTCCCACTGCTGCATCCTCTGATAAATCTACATCAGAAGTAAAGTGGATATCAGCTGTGTGTTATATGACTGAGTGTCCTTGTCCTGTAATGACCTTGAGCTCATATGGGAAGAGAGCAACATTATCAGTAGCCCTGGTCAAGTTACTAAAGTGCTGCTGTTTTGTCCGTCTTTTCTTCATCTTACATCTGCCACTGGTCACTAAGTAGTTTTTTCATACAGCCAGAAAGCAAAGAAGCAAAAAAAACCCTCTTGGTTGGTCAAGAAATTCATTCCAATCAATTTTTCAGAGAAGGATGAAAATGTAGCAGGGTTGTAAGTACAAAAGGGAACAAATGGTTCAAATCAGCAAAAAGGCCAGATGTTTTTGAAAAAGGTATAAAGGTTGCACCAACAAATTGTCTACCCAGCCATAAACCAGACAATTGCATGTGCAGAATACTTAAATCTGCATGTAAAACAGACAGTTGTGCATGCATCTAAGTGCTGGTGTATTTTGCATGCCCAAGTGTATCATTTGTGCACCCCACTGTTTGTATGCATGTGGCAGATTTTGCAGGTGCAACCATAAATGCCTTCTTTGAAAATCTGGCCCCACGTTCAGTGACACACATATTTGCTGGGAGACTTTAAGGAGTAAACACATTTCAATCCCTGTCCATCATTCAATGGTTTCCATTTCAGGCTCGAATCAGAAAATTTGGACCCAAAATCTTACAGCTGCTGACGGAGTGGACAGAGACATTCCCGTATGACTTTCAGGAAGAGCGGATGATTGGCCATCTGAAAGACATGATTCACAGGATAGCCCCGTGTGATGAGGTGAGGATGCCTGATCTTGGATGTTGTGTTAAGATGTTAAGTTCATTTTTCCGCTTGGTTTCCTCCTTTTGCCACATTCTGTTCCATGCCTCTTCCCGGATACTCTCACAGTTTTGTTCTCCAACAATGGAAAAAACCTGCAGTAGCTTCCCTGAAAGCCACATCTCTCACTTTGGGTACTCCTTGGCAGTGACATGGGGACACATCAGAGCGATCAGTAGAATTTATCTACTGCACATCGAATTGTAGGATAACAATATTCCCATTTTACAGAAGGAATATATGAAGGCATAGCATAGACTGAATGTGCTGGTGACAATTCAAATAGCAAGAGAGCTGTGATCTCCCAGGTTAGAATCACAGAATCACAGGATGGTTTGGGTTCGAAGGGACCTTAAAGACCATCTCATTCCAACCCCCTGCCATGGGTGGGGACACCTTCCACTAGACCAGGTTGCTCAGAGCCCCATCCAGCCTGACCTTGAAGACTTCCAGGGATGGGGCATCCACAGCTTCTCTAGGTTTAAGTTCTTATGTTTGAAGAAAATGCAAATATTAATGAACATGTAGCTTCTCTGGGATCATGAAAGTGGCAGAAGACAGCAGTGTGTGGCCTGCTGAGCAGCAGCTCAGGGTAGATGTCTGTATGGTCTCAGTGTTCAAACGTGAGCTGTGTGTGTGGCAGAGTAGGTCACAGTGAATGGAGTCTCTGGGAGACCTGCTTGCAAATTCAGGTGGGTGAACCCCATAAATTAGTTCAGAAACATTAAAAAGACCACAAAGTCCACCAAAATAATAAGCAAATAGTACACAGAGAGTCTCTAATTACTTCTAGGTTAACCATGGGATGTGGAAGAATTCAGTTCCATTGGCTACATGAAGGCCTGGCCTCAAGCCACAGAGGGCTGCAGTTCAGTAGAACAAGAACATACCCATGAGGCTGAGAGAGGAGAGAAAGAATCAGCAGGGCTGCAGCACAACAGAAATGAAATTGGGCCCTCCTACGCACATGAAATATGTCAGAAATGGGAACAGCTGCCCTTGGGCTGGGCTGGCATCATGTCTGGCACTTTCAGGGAGCTGTAGGCTGGCCTGGATCCACTGGCTGGGCTGGCCAGCCCGTGGGAGAGAAGGGGTGGGAAGGGGAAGCTGTGTGACACAGTGATGGAGGTGAAGGGAACAAAAATAAACTCAGAAAAGAGCCCAAGTGGCTTCAGTTCCATTAACTAGAGTAGTGAAACTCCCTCTAGGGGAAGAGGCAATGGACTTGCTCCTGCCAACCACCACAAAAGGTGCCTTCCAGCCCTTCAGCATCAGTGAGAGAAACCCATACAGACCCACCAACATCATGTCCACTGGGAAGACGGAACCAGCCAAAGGGCAAAGAAGAGGGGCTTTGTGTGTGCTCTTTAAAAGAGTAGTTGCCCTAGTGAAGAGCCATAAATACAGTAAATAACTTTCTGCATACAAAACAATAGTTTTATTTGTCTAACCTGAGCAAGCACTGCACACCTTTGCTCTGGAGAGTGCATGGCTGTGTACCAATGCTTGTGGGTGCCCTGGGAGCCCTCAGACTACATTAGTCTCAAATCACTGTTTTTCAGATATTACCAGGCACTGTGATTGCAAGTGATTATGCCTGAGCAAAATCAATAATTAATTTAAGAAACAGCTCATATCCTACAATGCAAATTTCCTTTTCTAAGGGACAGCACAGAAGAGTGGTGGTGCCCGTTAGTTGTTCGGAAGAAAGTTGTTCCTGTTGTGAACCACAGAAAATAAAGACTGAAAGATTTGTGATGTCATGCAGTCCATGTAGGTCAGTGCAGGATTTTCCCCTGCAGTGTGTGCTCCTGTCCTTTGTAGAGTCCACTTTCTGAAGGCTCTGTGATGTGCTTAGAAAGGTGTCCATGCTGAGAAGCATTTCTGAGTAAGTGCTGTGATTTGCATTTAGAGCTAGAAATTTTAATTAAAATTTGAGCTCCTAAGCCACCTGCTGAGGCCTGCTGTCTTCAGAGGAACTTTCTTAGTTAAGAATGAAACATTTTCTTTAAATATTAAACAGTAGTTGCTTCTTTTGACTGTTAATGTGGCAGTGAAGTGAAATTGGTTGATGGAGTCCAGCATGCAGCCCCTGTACAGTGGGGGGTCACTTTGTGGCAAGATAATTACCAGCACATTGAAGGTAATGAACAATGTTGTTTTCACTTAGTGAATGTGGTTTAAAGAAGGCAGGAAATGCTTTTACAAGGGCAAAAGCAGGTTGGTTTTTTTTTAATTTTTTTTTGTAATTTTTCCTCCAATGCACACAGAAAAGCTTTGTGGGCAAGGGTGCACCCAACCACTTGTATCTTCAAGAGGTCTAATTTCTGTGGAATTTTTTGTGTCCCTTAAGTGTCTCTCATTTCATTCTTTATTAAGTGATTGGCTTACCTGAGTCTTTGATTACTGTTGTCTATATCTGTTTTTTGTGCCATATTCTCTACAAAACCAAGTGAAACTAGATCTCTTGATAAGGATCTATTGAAAGACTGGCTAATATACATGTCTTCCAAGCAATTTTATGCTGCTTTTTGGCTTTTCATCCAAACAGTGAAGAATTTGATGCTACACAGACATGGCTGGTCCAAGATTTCTCATCCAAACTCCTTTTAGAAAGATAACTGGGTTTCCAGCTAAGCCTTTTAGCCAGATGTTTTATATTTATTAGAAAACTTGCTGTGCCTGCCCGCCCCCCCTCCCCAGTTAATTTCCCTGTTTACAAAATATGTTCACAAAAAACCAAATATGTCACTATTTGAGTTTTCACTAAAAAATAACATTGTGTTCATAAGCAGATTTGCAAACACACCTGGATGTAAAACAGAGAAATATTTAGATGGTGGTCAGTAGTTTGAGTCCGGAACAGTCTTTGTAAATCAAAAGTGTGACCACCTGTTTGCATGAGGAATTACATGAAGAAGGCCTGTAGTCTCTTTTGCTTGGAGCTAATACACATCCATAACAGATAAAAAATGAGGGTGGGCTTTTATTTTCCTCACTCAATTTTCACTCTTCCTGTGTGATTTGCTTCCAAATACATTGTGTTGTCATTCTCCAAGACAAGTCCTCTTGCCTTCTAGATGCTTGCTTCATTTCAGACTTAACAGCTTTATTTTTCCAAAAAAAAAAAAAAAAAAAGCCTGTCTACATCCTGCTTATCTGGCCCTCGTTCTGGGCCAGCTCAAGAGGATGTATTTCTTGAGTGGAAGGAGAGGGTCCTCAGCAATGTGAAACCTTCTGTTAGAAAAGATGCGTCAAAGTTACAAAGTGTTGTCTCAAAAGTTGAAGCACTTGGGGTGTTCTAAAGGTCTCCAGCCTTTCCTGTATGAAGACACAGTAGGTGTATCCATGTTATTCTTCACTGTGAAGTAGAAGAACGTGCTACTTCCAGGGTGCAGATGGGATTCTGTGTAGGCAAAAAGGGCACTGACTCTGGTTTCTGGTTCCTTAAACACAAGTGCTGTCAATGCCTAACACTGAAGACTATCCACAGCCTACAAAACTCTGAAGGAGACAAAGGCTGGATCTAAACCACAGGATTCAGTACTTCCCAGGAGCTCCCTTGGGCTGTGTCCAGCTTGGGATGTGACACAGGTGTGTGCTGGTCTTTGTGGGAGGCACCATCTCCCCCAGCTCCTGTGCTGGTGGTGAGCAGGGTGTGCAGGGTGCCAGGGTGAACATCTGCACAGTGCAGGTGGAACAGAGGCTCCTTGCCAGCCCAGGTTCCTCACTGACAGATGACAAACTGATGTTACTGACAACTTGTCATTATCAAATCTTGTTTGGATGGGGAGCGAGGAGTTATTCCACTCGTGAGCAGCCAGGGGATCTCTCCACTGTGTGTCTTTGTGCCAGAAGAGTTGCTGGTAGTCACCAGCCTGTAAACTGTTCTCCCAAGTGACCAGGCTCTTTGAAATTGGGCAAGCACCCATGCCCAGTGCTCATTTCTCTGGCTGGGAAAGCCCATGAGACCATATTCCTCAGCAGGATATACTTCATCCTGCATGTATGGCTTTTGCCAAGGGCATTTCCAATCAATCCTTGTCTTTAGAGCCCATCTACCTGTTCTCTCTGTTATCTCAGTCCTGTGATGTCTGCATCTGTCAGTCATGAAGAGCTGCAGTAATTTCTTTCTGCCCATCCTCCATGGCCAGCAGCTCCACTCATTGTCTGTAAGGAGCTGCTCCAGCTCTGAGAACCACCTGGGCACCTTAGTAATGATCATCCTGCTGAGCACGTGGCTGTGCTCAGAATACAGTATGAGCTTCCTTCAGTAGCAATTAACATTTTGGATGTTAAATACTCAAAGCTACACAATGCTCCAACCACTCCACCTGGGTAGCAAGCAGCAGCAGCAGCATGCTCCTGCTGCATTCAGCTCAAAAGAGTGGAGAGAATAGTGTTAGAAACATTTCTAACTCCTAATAAATAAGAGTTGACAAGGCACCATTAACAGGTAGAGTTCTCAGCCAACACGTAGCTGGTATAAAGGACAGGTACTGAATGCTGCTGTGCTCCAGAAAGCTGCAGTAACTCATGTTGTAGCATTCCCTCTCCTCTGACCCTGATGTTGGCAGGAATATGGGAGTATCAGTGCCAGCCCAACCCACCAGTCCTGCCTGCCTCTTCTCTTGACTGCAGTCTCTTTCTGTGGTCCAGAGCAGAGAACTGTAATTAAGCCAACTGGTTATTCTGAAATAGGCTTGTTGGAAATAAAATGGTGACCTGTTGCTGGCTTAGGAGTATCTTGCAGAAGGGAAAATTCAGCACAAAAACACTCCTTTGTCAAATTTTCTAAGTGGCTTATGTTTCTTTCTCTCCCTGTCTCTGCAGGCCTACTGGAAAAAGATGAATCAGCTTTTGCAAACCCTGAATCAGAAGCTTGCCACCCTCAGCCATGGGCAAGAAGGGATTGTCAAGATCAGTGCTGCTGTCTCTGACAAGCTCGTTGCCTTTAAAACTAAACCCCCATCAATTCAGAGAGAAATCCTGAGTGTCTGCAGTGACCCCTACACTCTGGCTCAGCAGCTGACACATGTGGAGCTGGTAAGTGGGAATGGTTCCCAACTTCTGCAGCCAGAGGTATTATTTTAAGCCATCAGCTGCTAAGTATTCCAGACATAACTAAAAAATGTCTGCACTGCTGCAGCACATCCCATGCTGTATCAGCACTGCAGCAGGAGGCAGGGTTTGACAGGTTAAGGGATGCTTGGGAAGAAAACTGTAAATCAGTGTTCCTGTGCATCTTGGAGAGGGTCACTGCACTTCAGCTTGCTTGTTTGTGAAATGTGAATCACAGTCCCAGGAAGATCAAGTCCCAGGAAGGTCACTTCTATAAGGTGCTCAGAGCCCCACAACCTGCAGGTGCTGTTGAAATGGCTGGTCATTAACCCTTCTGTCAATTTGGAAGGAATTTTAGCAGTTCAGATCCATTCCTCTTGATACACAAAGCATCTGAGTTGTCTGATATGGTTTTCATTCTTCCCTTTGGGTGTGCAGATACCACCCACAGGAAGTCCTGCTGTTCCCCCCGTTGGGCTGCAGTCCTCTCCCAAACAGGCTCTTGTTGGTAATCACTCCAGTTGCAGTGCCAAAACATTGGACAGCCTGTTGTGTTGCACACCCTTCTCCCAGGGTCAGGTCCTCCCTGCAGACCTCCTGGATGTGCACAGGAGAATGTAAAACATTGCTGCCCTCTGCAGATCTCCTGTTGCTCTGATGACTCCCTGCTGCCTGTCCTGTGGACACTTCATCCTTGAGAGGAAGGCTGGAAAAACAAACCATGAAATGGATTGTGGATTGGAGTGAATATCATGAAATTAGCCTTGGGAATTCTGAAGGTAGTTGATATTCTATTGTCAAGAAGTGGAATGGTTCAGAAATCCCAAATATAGGATCATCTCACCTAGGTTAGTTTTCAGAACATGCAGGCTCTCTTTGGCTCTCTTTGCTTTATGTAACTTAAGCCAGAGAGTAGAATTCCTTTTGCCTGGAGTCTTCTTCTTGCTTTTGTTTTTTTTTCCTCCATAGTACAACTGTCTTCCAAGGGGAGATTTCTTGTGATTGAGGCATCACTGCCTTTTTAAAACAAATGCAGTTAGAGGTTTTCATTCCACTATACTGTAACCAATGCTCTCTGCCTTCTTTTTCATTACTACATGTGATACACCAAGTACTCTGCACTGAAACTGTCTGATGCTTAGTTGTTAGTAAGAATTATTTGCTGCTTATTTAAAACAGTTATTTGCTGGACCATAGCAGGTCTGAGGCAGCATCAAGCACAGAACTGAGATTTGCTGGCTCCCAGATAGAGCCCTGTGCATCCAGCACAGTGGAGGGGACTCTTACTGTGGCTTGTCAGTAATGAGACATATTTATGCTCATTTTCTTCTTTCTACTGAAATAGTTCTAATTGTTCTTATGAATTTTAATGTGTAGTATTGGTTGGCTGTCTACCAGCTCAGTTAACACCATTCAGAGGTGACTGATAATGGCAATGCCTTACCAAGGGAAATAGGAGATTCTGGGATGCTTTCTGATTTTTTCCTTCTCTCTTCCTCCCCAACAGGAAAGGTTAAGTCACATTGGACCCGAGGAGTTTGTGCAGGCATTTGTACATAAAGACCCTCTGGATGGCACCAAGGTATGGTTTCTCTGCATGCAAAGTGTCTCCTGTGATGTTTGCCCAGGTGAACTGGTGTGATGAGGTCCCCAAGAGCAGGGCCTGAGGCACGTGCTGACCGAGGCCAGGCCAAGTGGTGACCTGTGTCCTCCCATCAAGGATGGGACCTGTTGGCAGAGCTTGCCCTGGCAGGTCATTGCCATTCCTTCCTGGTGAGAGTAAAAGGCTGGCCAGCACCTTGATGTTCTGTTTTCTGGCTTGTTCCTCCCAACCTGCTTTGACTGGGATGGATGGTTTGTGGCTTTACACATCCAGGGAATGTCTGTTCCCTCTGTTGAAGGTTTAGAGGCTCGGGATGTGATGTAATGCCCAGAGTGTGTGCCCAGACACCACAGTAATGAGTCAGTGCATCATGAATCAACGTACTCCTCTCTCTCCACACAACAGCTGTTAACCCAAAGCACCACAGGGAGTGGAGTGCCTGACCAGGGCTTCATCCAGAGGCTGTGAAAGCCACTTGGAGTCTTTCCACTGATTCCACTGGGGTCTGAAGCAGCATTTCAGTGAGTGCCTCAACGAGGAAAGAGACTTCCTAGCTGGAGAGGGAGAGTCAGAGATTTCACATATTGTCTGAAAAGAAAGAGGGTGGAAAATTCTTCCCCTGAACTGCATGTGGGCTCCCACTGAGATCATACATCAATGGCAGAATTTCCTCACTGGATGCCGAACATGTGTTTGTAGTGCTGCACAAAGCTTGTAATGGTGAAAAGATGGATGGATGGATGAGAAGTGCAGCATTCTTCTTCTTGGAGCCACAGAGATTCTGCAGTTGGTTTCAGGGTGAGGGAAATGACAGAGATTCAGTTCCAGGTATTCTGAGCACTGGTCACATTCTTTAGGAAGGAAGCCCTCGCTTGCACTGTAACCTCCTTCCAGGAAGTCATAGAGAGCAAGAAGGTCCCCCCTGAGCCTCCTTTTCTCCAGGCTGAGCCCCCCTCAGCTCCCTCAGCCACTCCTCATCAGATTTGTGCTCCAGACCCTTCCCCAGCTCCTTTGCCCTGTGTGGCAGCACAAACCCTCTACATGGAGTCACATTTTCCCTGACCTGTGAAGAACACCCCTGTTGAGCACAGGGAGTTGGCTCAGGTCTGAATTCCCTCCAGCTGAAGATCATATTAAACATCTTTCTTGTGCGAGGGTTTCAAAAGGGTTCACTTATGAATGTTTATCAAGCATTCTGAGTTGCAGATGGAAGATGCTTGGGAGGTGCTAAATATTGCTGCCATTTATAAAGCTTAACCTTTAAAAAGCAGTCTGTCTCAACTTTAACTGCTGCACATTTTTCACAAGTTTTGTGTTATTATCTGTGGTCCTTACGCCCTGGCACAGGACAACAGTGCTGAGATGGAAATACCATATTTGGAACAAAAATGGGGTTTTGTGTATTTTTTGCTGTAACAGGGAACAAGAAACAGAGCTTGTGAAAAGCAGCTGCTGTGCGTAGACTGGGGCTGATTTGGGTTTCCTTTGGGTTTTCTGGTATTTGCATTCTGCTTGCTGACATTTACTTTTGAGATGCTTTTAAAATACACTGTTACTGTATATGTAGTGTATTCATAAAGTGCCTCAGAATTCCAGCTTTGTTAAGCTCTGCTCCTCCATAGCATGGTACTGTGAGTTCTGTTTCTAAACACGCCTGTATACAGAATCACAGGTGAATATTTTTTTACTTGGAATTACCTTGGGAATCCAATTAAGCCTCATTACTGAAGGGGTTCTTAGTCATTTGTTTGCCTGACATAATATGAGTGATCCCATTGACATTAATGGATCTGTGCTTATGCATTTTGATTTTCTTCTTAATGACACGTGTTTATAGTAGTGCTGGGAAATGATCATCCTAATAAAACAAAAAAAATCAGTATTCTCTGGTACCCTCTAGTGGATGTTAATGAATGTTCAAACAAATCTCGTGAACTCCAGAGAGCTGTGTGTCCTACATGGACTGTCTAACAACTTAGGGCTGGGAAAAGGACTTGAATTCTTATAATCCCAAGCAACATCTTCAGGCTGTGCGAGCTGCCCTATCACTCCTCTGAAGTCAAATTATCTGTTGATGACAAAGGAACTGGAAGAGTTCAGCCAAGTATCTGCTCCCACAGCCTGTATCAGTTATGGGAATTTATGTTCAGTTGTATATAAGTAAGTGAAAAATGTGCTTCCTGTAATGGCTCTTATCACTGAAGTGTCTCTGGCATGTAAGTGACCCGTTCAAGCGCAGCCATCACGGCAGAGCTGGTCACTAAGAGCCTGTTTTCCTGAAAACTCAATCAGGGAAATAGTTTGGTGTTTTTTCATAAAGAACCAACTAGAACTGTATTTTCTCTTGCTTATCTCTTGTACACTTCACTAAATTCCGGTCTCTTCCCTCCAGAAAAGGGCTGTGAGTGATTGCATTTACTGAAGGGAGTCCCAGAATCGAGGCCACAGACTGGGCGTGCTGTGGAAGGCTGTGTCTGTCTTATTTTGTCTGCATATTCTTGTTGCTGTCAGAAGCCTACAATGCCCCAGCTGTTCATATCCCAGTGAGCAAGGGTCAGTGCAGCCAGTGTCAGTGAACACTTGCTGCAGGCAAAACGGGCTGTTTTCTGTACCCCAGTGTGAATGGTACAGAAAACACCAGCAGTGTGACACACTCAGCTGGACCCCCCTCTGCCACCCACCCACCCAGGGACTTTTAAAAGGGGCCCTCAGTGCACAGTCTTCCACGTGCATGAGAGAGATGTGGCCAGTCATCATCACCTTTGTGCAGCATTTATCTTAGTGATCAGCCAGCTACCTGGAACACAGTTAGATCTTTCTGTGCTTTTTTTCCCCCCCCCAGACTTGTTTCAGTGAACAGAAGAAGACGAGTAACCTTGAGGCCTATGTGAAATGGTTCAACAGACTCTGCTATCTCGTAGCAACAGAAATTTGCATGGTAAGTCAAAAGTATGTGACATGTTTTACCACACGCCTGAGGTACCACTCTGAGATCTTACATTAATAAGCAAACCTGGGGATTTACTTCTTATGACCCAGCAAAGCATCTGATGGGAAGTTTTAGTGATACTGCACTTGCAGAAGCGACCTGATAAATGACAAATGTATTGCAAAGCAGAGCCGGCAGCACATGAGGGATGCACTGTTCTCTTGATGTAGTAGGAGCACAGTGTGGAATAATGAACCCTGCAGGGAAAAAGAGAGGAAAAAATGCCTCGAATTATCCTGTGAGATTTCTGCCAGAAAAGATTCTGGTGGAGCCGTATTTGTTACCTGTCATCCTAAGGCTCTGTTGTGTGTGTAAATTCCCACTGCATGGCTCTTTGTCCCATTGCCCACTACTGTAGCTGTGACTGTTGTTTCTTAACTTGGTCATGGTTTTAGTTTGTTAAATTTGGCCCCGTCAAAATGCAATTAATGGTTTCCCCTTTGAAAAGGGTGTGGAAGGGATGAATAATGATAGTTTAAAGAGCCTGGATAGCCCATGACACATAAGAATTACCACTTGAAGATCATCTTTGGGAAAGGGAGGGTGATTCCAGTCCAATTAAAATGTGTATTTAAAATGCACACTACCGTTTGGCCTGGCTGTATTGCTGGAAGGGACAGAAGAGGGGAAAGGGATTAATGCAGTGAAACAAACTCTTTCTGGGACAAGGATGCTGCTGTTATATGGGTGTGAAATCCTGCCCTTAGGAAAGTCTGTGCTGATGTGCCCAGTGACTGGAGAGAGGCCAGCAGGGAGCTGAGGCCCTGCTTGGGCTGCCTGTTCCAGCACTGAACAGTCACTGAGGCCAGCCTGGGGATTGCTGTGGGTTTCTTCTGTGTCACTGCCATGAGAGCTTTGATTTTGGAGGCTGCCAGTCACCAGCATCCACTGGATTGCTGGAACGGAATTAGGGACAGTGACTAATAGCAGATGGTCCAAACTGTGCATGGAACCATGCTGTACATGGTACAAATGCCTAGGATGACCTCCAGTTCTGCCTCTGCTTATTACAGATATTCATTTATTTTAATTTACAGCCTGCAAAAAAGAAACAGCGAGCACAAGTCATTGAATTCTTCATTGATGTTGCCCGAGAGTGCTTTAACATAGGGAATTTTAATTCACTGATGGCAATCATTTGTAAGTACAGCTTCTAACCAGGTCTCTCCATCAGCTGTCACAGATGAAAAAGGAAGCCCAATTCTTATCCATGGTTCTCTTTTTTTCTCTCTCATAGCTGGAATGAACATGAGCCCAGTTTCCAGGCTAAAGAAGACTTGGTCAAAAGTGAAAACAGCCAAATTTTTCATTCTCGAGGTAAAGAAAAGAAAAATTAAAGAAAGGTGCTGATGTACTGCTTGAATTATATTCTGGATTTTTTTGTTTGGGAATTTTCACATTATTAGCCAGGTATGAGATGTTTGCAGACACGTTTGACAGGCAGAGGGCCAGATTCTAAGCTGAAATTTCCCAGGTGCAGTGAGGAAGGTGTGAAGCTGCTGATATGTAGAGGGGATTCAGACACTCAAATAAATAGGAGAAATAAAAAAAATAAAAATATGAGCGTATATGCCATAGTGCTTCCATTGATGCTGAATGTAAAGTTCCGAGTCTGTACCTTGGATGTTGAGTGAACAATGGCCCAAGGTTGGTTTTTTTGTATTGAAGATTCTTTGGCAGATATAAAGTGTGTAGTCCTTATTCTTTCACATAAAAGCTCAGTAAGCTGTTAGTAAAAAAATCAAAGGTGTGAACAGCCATGGGCTGTAACCTCTCACTGTGTCTTTGGTGCGTGGAGTTCTGCGGGTGTGTGGATTCTGAAGACGTACCTTTTCAAGATGTAGGCTAAGCTCTGCTCAGGGTTTGCTACAACTGAGTGTAAAGTTGTTTTTGGAGGACCCGGGTTGCCTTCTAACCAACAGTGTCTTCTTTTGTGCATCCAGCACCAGATGGACCCCACTGGTAACTTCTACAACTACCGAACAGCGCTGCGGGGGGCTGCCCACAGGTCCCTGACGGCACACAGCAACAGGGAGAAGGTGGGTGTGACCACATCTCATCCATCTCCACAGAGGTGCAGTGCATTGCTGCTGGGAGCCAGTGGCTCAAAGGCTTGATGCAGATGTTCTCCTCCCTTCCATGGGTCACCAGTGCGAGGCTTGTGCGCTGCTGAATGCAACTGGAAATGTAAATCTGTGGCTGAAAGAGTCTGAAGTGGGTCCAAGGGCTTTGTGGACTTGCTCTCAGACACTGGGGGGCTAGAGAGGGCAGGACACACAGCGTGGAGGATGTTGTTGCAAACATCTCTATATCCCTGGGAAATTCACATTGTTTAGGTTGATAAACCTGATGGAACAGGTATTCCAGCCTAAAAATGACTTTCATTTTGGTATGGAGCATCAGCCTGGCAGGTCCAGGTGGAACTGTGCTTTGGTACAACCGTGCTCTGAGGCTCTGGCAGACAAGCCCCTATTGTGCAGAGTGTGATGTGAGATGGAGAGAGAGGGCACAGCACTGGAGATGAGGTGGTTCTCCAGTTACATTAGGGAAAGGTGACTTACCACAAGCACTGCAAAGGAGTCTAGTCTGAATCCATTGCAGCAAATTTGGAGTGATATTCTGTCCTTGTGAATTTTCATTTCATTTGGTCGTTGCTGCCGTCTCAGTGAGCAAGAATTGAAGTGTTTCATCAAGTGTTCAGGGCAGATACGGAGCTTTCTGACATGTCACTGATGCTGCAAAAATCAGACTGACAAGATGTTGGAGTGCAGGATCCTCCTGTTTTGTGCCCCAGTGTGTTTCTTGTTAATTTTCTTATTTCTCCATTCAATTCTCTATTTTTTTTGTTTTATGGAAGAGGGTTTGTATTTAACACTACAATTGCCCATAGTCAGAAATGGGTAATCTCTGCACAGGGCATGGCAAAGGTAAAGTAGATACTGCAGGAACAAGAATAATATGGAATTTAGTATTCATTCACTAGAGGAGCCAGACCAGATGCTAATCTCACACCCTTGTAAATTTGATGTAAATCTGCTGAAGCTAATGGAATGTCCCAGCATTTACAGTGAAATGAGATCAGCATCTGGTGGCAGGCTGACTCAGCTGCAATGGGAGTACACTGAGTTGTTCTGAAAAGCACTTCTCTGTGCAAAGGAGGGATGATGGCTTTGGGTGTTTGGGACTGGCAAAGAAATTCTTTTAACTCTCACGCACTGCAGTGAGGATCTGTCAGTCTGAGGTGCATTTGCAGTTTAGTTCTTCTGTGACCATGATAGATATTCAAACCAATTCTTTAGAGTTTGACTTAATTTCCTGTGAAGTCAGCAATCTCTGTCATATCTCTACCCCTAGCTGGTTAATACTGAGGGCAGAGAGGTTATTAGATCAAAAGGAATCTACTTTACATCAGAAAAAGCCATATTCTGTTTTCTGAACATTAGTTCAAGAAAATGCTCCAGGATATGATTTGGTAGCTATTCAAACAGTATTTTACAGTGTCAGATAAAGCAGATCATGTAATGCTTGCTGTAGGATTAAGGAATATTGTTTCTTTTTATAAGCAAGACTTATTTGTTTTAATGAACTTGAAGAAAATTGAAAGAACACGATCGCTTTTTTTGAAAGAAAATGTTATGTTGCTTCTTGGCAAACACATAGCAAAGCTCACTCTGAAGAAAATTTTTATCTTCAAACTGAACTGTGCTTGCAGAGGGGTGTTACTCATTAGTAACTAAGTCTGGTTTTGTCTATGCAGTCAAACAACCTGTGACACCTCCAAAATTAAGTCATTCCACAGGGAAACCCTGCACTGTGCTAATGACTTGTCCCTGGCTTTGAAATGTTGGGAGTATGTACAGTGCAGTGCCATGTGTTGTTGCTGTCTGATGCTGTGGAGGAAGAACATGTTGGATCTCATTAACTTCCTTCTTTCTGCAGGAGGCAGTTGTGCTTCATCATGTGGGTGGGTTAGATGACACGGGGGGGGGAATCAAAACAGAGAGAAATATGAGTTTCTGGCACTAACCCAGATTTTATGCTAGTAAAGTGCCTGGATTGAAGCCAAACCACTTTTGTTGGGTTTCCTACATAAATTTGGAAAGCAAAACATACTGGATAATACATTTTTATTGGGGAAACAAATGGCGACCCAAAGACAGAAATCCCATGAAAATGTGTAAAGAACTGGTATCCTCGAGTATGCCTTTGGCACCTTTTGGATGCAGATGAGAACGAGCTCTGCCATGTTCTCAGCTGACTCGTGGCTTTGTAGCTGTATTAGCATGGCATTAAGCCCACATTCATGTACCTTCCCTCTCAGCAAGGCTTTTCACTCCTGTTCAGTACCACTAATGGTGGTGACCTTGCTCCCAGGCAGTGTGGAGCAGGGCAGGACAAGCTCGCATCTGCCTGCAAAAAAAATATGTAGACAGAACTTGGCAGTCATTTCTAGCTGTGGATCAGTGTCTGGCTCCAGCTCTCTATCTATCCACAGTGGTTACAGTGGTCATCATCATTTTTGGTAAAAAATAAATCACAGACTGAATTATATTGTTTACTGCAGGTTTGTTGATCTAGTTTGAATATTGTGAAAATGAGTCTTGAAACACACTTAGCTCAGTTTGCTTAGAAATTGTTCCACCTGACCCTGATAGGGGGATAGGATGTTCTTTGTTTTCATTCTGAATTTTATCAGGATAATGCCAATGGTTCTTGGAGTGTCAGTCCAGGCTTTTTTATGGGTACTGCAGTGGCATTACAGAGTTTATCTGTCCCATAAAAAAGCCAGCAGAGATGCAGATCTTTAGCTGTTTACTGGATGTGGTATTTTAGCTGGAACAGAAGTTGGCTTCCATTTTCACGGTACATGTTGGTAGTGGCTTGTGGACTCCTTGCCTCAGTGAGTGTTTTCATGTCTGTGACTTGTTTGCACTCCTAGCAACGTGAAGGCTGTAAACTGGAAAATAACAGCTGCCAATCCTGTTCTAGGTCCATTTCATACCCCATTACAGCTGATGTACAGCATGAGATGGAATAACAGTGCAACATTAAATACTTAACTAAAGGATTGCTGCCTTGGCTGGTCTTATTTGCCATGAAGGCACTTTAGCTTTGGTGCTGATAACAAGCTACAGTTCAGTTAATATACAAGTAGGCCAGTGGAAGCATTTGGACACTCTGCCATGCACTGTGCTTTCCTTCATGTTCATGGTGATTAAGTTTATACTTGGTGGCTTAAAAGGCAGGTGTTGCTGCCACAGGAAAATGCTCTCAGAGGCTGCTGACCTTACAGCTCAAACCCTCCAAGCAGCCTTTTTCTGTTGCGTGTCACTGCTGGAGAGGTGGGGAGACTGAGATTTGACTATCAAACCCCAGAGCCCTGGGAGTCAGCCTTGTCATGGACTGGCCCTTTGTCTTACCTTTCTTTTTTCTTTGAGTTGTCTCACAAGAGGACCTGGAGCGACTCTGCTTCGCTCTGGATCTCTGCTGGAATGCTGGGGATTCACTTAAGGAGCATTGTTACTGTGTTCTGCTGTACAACATCTGGCATCAAATTTATCCCTGTTGAAATTCCATTAATTTCAAGACTTCTTTTATAGCAAATTATGACCCACCTCTGGTTGGTTAGGGGGGGGAAGGCTTGGATCACTGCATATGCCACTCTGCCCTGGATGATGGCCAGGGCTAATTTTGAGCACTACAATGGTCTCTCTGGCTACTGTTGGCAGTTTCCTGTCAACCGGCTTAATATTTTCAATCCTACTGTCTGTGGGTTAATTTGGAGAAGCAGGTTGTACTAATCAGGCACCAGGAAGGAAATTACATGCCTCGAGAGGTAGCCATGCATGGAGCTGTTGAACATGAAACAGCTTCCCATTAACTGTAGACAAGTCCTTGGTCATGAAATTTTATTCTGCCTTTCCTCTCAGGGACATACTGATTCTTTGATTCCCAGCTGTCTTTAAATTGATGGTTTGTGCATTCAGCATCTTTGCTTACAAAGACACAACAGAAAAGAGAAGAGTTGTGAAATGTTATTTTGCTCTTTGCTGTCTGATCTTGTCATCAGGCACTGATGCTGTTGATAATAAACTGGATTATTAGCATTTTCTTAGTCATGTTATTGTGCTCAGTGAACATTGTGTTCATTCACTTTCATCTCAGCATACATTCTCCTGACGGCTGAAGGTCTCTCTATACACTGCTGCCCTTTTGCCTGCCTGTTATTGTGCTGCTTTTTAAGTGCATAGCACACTGAAAAGTTAATATTTCTTTATTCTCCTCTCTCCCAATTGAGTTGTTCTTTCATGCAGAGAAAATACTGAACTGGAAAGATAATAGTTATGTCATTTCTCTTCGCAGATTGTGATCCCCTTCTTCAGCCTATTGATCAAAGACATTTATTTTTTGAATGAAGGATGTGCTAATCGCCTTCCAAATGGACACGTCAACTTTGAAGTAAGATCTGAACAATGTTTTTACCTATTCCATTCTGATAGCACTGAGACAGTTTGCCTGCAATTTTCAGTGCAGACCAACAAACTGAGGGCAGAGATAATCTGAGTGGAATGATTTCATGTTTACAGAAATTTCTGGAACTGGCTAAGCAAGTAGGAGAATTTATAACATGGAAGCAAGTGGAATGTCCTTTTGAGCAAGACCCTAACATCATCCACTACTTGCATACTGCTCCCATTTTTACTGAAGATGGTAAGACTATACAATCTCTAATCATTAGAAATGTGTCTCTTTGTCACTACTAATTAACACCCTGATCCATGCTTTGGTGTCCTCTCTCACTGACCAGTCCCAGTTCTTTCCTAGCTTTCCTGTCACACAGCTTGTTCATCCCCAGTCTATCCATGGGTTTTTGCAAATACAACCTTCTAGCACACAAAGCTGCCGCTTTTCTCTTGTCTGTAGCCTCTCTATGAGGCTCTGTCTGGGAAGTTGCCATTGTGGCCCTATTTTTGCAGTCACAAAAAGAGGCCACACAAGCACGTCATGGACTGCTGTGAATGTCAGCTGTCCCTTAGCCACTCATTCTGTGATTGATGGAGCCAGAGCTAATCTCTTCCACAAGCCAGCTCTGTCATCTCTTCAGTACACACAGCCCAGGGCGACAGTGTCCAGCTGACCTCCTCCTCTCCAACAAAGAAACACGTTATCCACGGAAAAGAATTTTTAAGAAAACCTTTTCTAGTAATTAATTTAAGCTGTAGCTATGAAAGCCCTGAAAATATTTCTCTGATTGTCTTTTTGTACTCATCTGTCCTCTTCAGTTTGGTATCCAGCATGTCAGACTGTGTCATTTCCTATTGTTAGCTGCCTCTCAGTACATTGTCATGCAAATTCTCTATAGACACCTTCCCCTAAGCTAAACTGGTGTTGGGTTTATTTTTTCTTGATTCTATAGGCAGTTTTCTGTGCTAATCCAAGGTAACCAGACCAGACAGCTCTTATTTCACAGACTACTTCAGAACACAAAATACCGCTTCTAAAATCCTGCCTAAACCCTAAGAAGAATGACTGCCAAAATAGAATAATTGCCGGAACAGAATAATTAATGTGATTAAAGTCATGTGTTACCAAGAGGAGATAGGATGGAGGCATTTGTTCTGGCTTTGGGCTCAATAGGGACAGAAAAGGAAAGTCAGGGGTAAAAGTACAGTTTTCAGGCTACTGGACTGAAAAAGGGTGACCTCAACCCACTAATTGTTTGCAGATTTTCTGTCTCATGCTATTCCTCCTAGTCATACTCCTTTCATGAGATGCCCTTTGCAGAAGCCACAGGAGGCCTTCCCCCTTACCCAGGGGAAGTGCAGAGTAGAAAGACCTGCCCTCAGTAAAAGGTGGGAGGATATATGAGAGAGATGCTGCAGTGGCATGTGAACTGCAGCTGCACTGTGCGTGTCACAGCGTGCTGGAACCGTGGGCCAGCACTGGAGTATTAAAAGGCATTTGATTTGTAGCACAGACCTCAGTAGTGAGATGGTTCCAGCATTAAAGAATAAAGCATCATGAAACAGTCAAATGAGGAAATGTGTGTGAACACAAATCACAGCCCATGATTCTGTGAAGACAGTGAGATATTAATGCACTGCCAGCTTGTGCAGGGGAAACTTTACAGTCTAGACACATTTTGGTGTCATAAAATGCATCCTACAGCGTAAAAATTTGCAGGAAAAAAAAAAAAAAAGACATTTATTTTCTTCCACTGCATTCTTTCTCTGGTTTCTGGAACTCACTCTTACCTCAAGGGTGTTGTGTATCCATTTAAGATACCATGTTCCCATAAGCTTTAAAAAGATTGAGGAAGATAAAATTGTGTTAAATGATGAGACTATCCTTAATTTTTAAAAACTTATGTGTTTAGCTGTCAGCTCTGTCTGTCTTTTTTAGTGTTTGTGTAACTCTTTGGTAGCAGTGCTGTGATGAAGGAAATAGGCCCAGACCTCTATATGGAAAACCAGAGACCATTCAGCTACTTAATATTGTTAAAAGGAGGTCACGCTAACATATTTTAACTCTGGACTCCTTTACTGTTCCATGAAAATTAACCTTACAGCTTTCCAAGGTAGACATGTGAGCTAAACATCAGTCCTACTCATTACCGGCCACCTGATGGACCATAAAGTTTTAAAGTTTCTGTTGCTGTGTGGTACAATGTAGGACACACAAGAATGCAGAGAAATGGGGGGACTTACTGATGTTGTTGGAATAACACATATTTACCTTTTCCAGGTTTGTATCTGGCTTCCTATGAAAGTGAAAGTCCGGAAAACCAGACAGAAAAAGACAGGTGGAAATCCTTAAGGTAACCTCTCATTTTATCAGCTCATTTCTAAAGTGCTGCACTGATAGCCAAAGCTTGTGAAGTGAAGGCATTTAAACTGTGACCTTTGAGGGACCTTTCTTCCATTTAAAACTAATCTGCAGAGCTGAGGCTGCCCTGATAAAAGCTCATTGTAATCTCAAATTATCCTCCATTTAAAGAATACCCTCTGCTTGCTGTACCCATGCAAAAGCCTGGTGTAGATGAGGAATACCCCAGGTTAACTGGATCTTCCAACAATTTACAGCTTTTATAAGAGATGTATAATGGTTTGATATAAGTGAGAATCTGAAGAGAGTGATTTAAAAAAAAAAAAAAAACAAAACAAAAAACAACAAAACACTTTACATTTGCCTTTTTTGTTCATTTCCTTATGTTTTAAATTTACAGATCCACTATTTTAGGAAAGACTTGAAGATTAAGAGATTATTGCAGTAGGTCAAGGAAAAGAAATCCGCAAACATTTTGCACTACTGATTCCAAAGATGCCTGTTTGGGATTTAGACAATTTCTTTTGTTTGAGTTTTTCGTTGGGTTTTTTTTGACTGCCTAACACGATGGATGAACTGGATTCATCCACTGAAATCAACGGGACTGTGTGCACAATGATGCTTTTCTAGCTATGAGACACGGAGAGGAAGGACAAACAGACTATTTGTGGCTGTGCCCAAACTGCGTCAGGATCACTGTAATTTTGCCTCTGAGGGAAAACGCAGGAAAACCAGGAGCACGGAGCATCATGGAACTGCAGCAGAGAATGGAAAAGTGTAAAAAAGGAAAGCAAAAATACACACGAGTATTTCAGAAGCAGGTGCTTCAGGCAGCGGCTCTTTAAACCCTCTGAGGCTTGTAAAATTAAATCAAAAGACAGACACAGCAGCAATCTGGTTAATTGCTGAACGAAGAAAGAAGAACTTCACCTTGCAATTGCAGTCCCCCAGCCTTGTTGAACAAAGCACTGACTGCTGCAGGGATGAAGGCTGACATCACTCCTATGGATACATGTATGTCACAAATAGGCCACGTCAGCAGGGGACAGTCCCGCAGACCCCACGGAGTTTTGCAGAGAACAATCTCAAGTGTGACTGTTGCTCAGTTATTCTTCCCATGGCTGTTGTTGCTTTTCTTACTGTGAATCTTGGCTGGTCTGAGGAGGGCACAGAGTGCAGATGGTGCTGCTTAAAGACACCCCCCCACCACTTCTGAAGTCGAATGAAGAAGAAAATGACTCTGGACTCAACTTACCTCTATTTAATGTACATAGTGTATTCCCTAAATTCACTGATGCCGAGTTGCATCTTTTAGAGGGTTTTATCACACTCAAAAAAAAAAACCCAACCAAACCTTCATTACCATTTCTATCAGGTTCCAATTAACACAGTACTGTTTCTTTTCCAACAGGATGCCAGGAGGATGGGAGGTGGGGGTAATTGCTTTGAATTTGGGAACACTTTAAAAGGAGAAAGGGTTTCAGACTAGAATGAATGCACTATTCATGAGCAGATAACCATTTTTGTCTTTTTTACTTTTAGGATCTAAACCACATTCACCATTACCTTATAGATAATATGAAATAGCGACTATGTCTGGTCTTTAAAGTTGTACAATAATCAAGGTGCTACTGTAACAGATATATTAAATTATAATGTACTATATTAGATTGAAAACTAAGCCCTAACAATAGACTAATTGTTTGTGTGTGGAAGGAATGTTTCTAGCTGCCCCAGAAAAGACCTCAAAAAGCTTAAATGAAAGCTAAATGGCACAGGATATTGAACTTTTCATTTTTATTACTGACTTGATGCTGGCCTTTTCAGATGTTCCAGTCTTTCTCTGCCTACAACAAAAGGTTGTAACCCTTTGTTTGAGATCAGTAATAGTTTTATTTCGGTACAGAGTGATTCCAAGTGGCTGTAGTGTTTTGAAAAATTAGGCTAATCACAAAACCTGGCTGTGTTGGCCTATGCATTTAGCCAGGAAACTGGAACTGTTCCTGCCCTCTGCCAGGCCTCCAAGTTATCCACGCCTGAGTGAGCTGTTGACCTGTGAACATTGGTGAGCTGGTGTTTGAGGGCAGCAGGCTGAGACACGCTCTGTGTGATACACTGCAGGTCTGTTGTGCCTGCAGTGCAGTTCTGATGTTGGGTTGTGACCTGTGGAAACCTGGCCAGTCTGGATCATGGCCATGTGGAATGTTCTGCTCCTGCCCTGGCTCAGCTGAGCAGGTGCTTCTAGATTTGCTTACACAGGGGCTCGAAGCAGAACTTTGAGTCTCCCTTTCCTACAGGTCCATCAGTGCATGAATTCAAGCAGGGGGGATGTAAAACTTTGATGTGTTTATTCAAGCTTTGTATGGAAGAACTAAGTGTAAGGATGGTACAACATCATTTCAGCCAGGGAATGATGACTATTCTGCTGATACTGTCAATATGCTGTTTGTCAATTTTTGTACATGAGCTGAGAGCAATACAGAGGAACATACACACATAGCCTTTCCTTCAGGCAGAACCATTTCCAAAATGAAGCCATTAAAAGCCTGTTAAATTCCAGACAAATCCAGAGCAATAACCATAAACATATTTACAAGAATGCTAATGCTTAAATGTGTTTGCTAAATTGTCATTTTTTCTTGCTATCTGCATCTTTTTAACAGGCACAGTGTGACTTCATAGTGGAAATGTAGGATTTTTATTGATCTGAGATGCAATGTAGGTGGATGGGCCTTTTCTTAAAACCTGCTTCTTAAAATTGAAATCCTCACTCCTTTTCTAATGAGCCAGTAGAGTCTGGTACAGCTGAGATTATAAAACCCTGAAGATAATTAAAATGTGATTTCTCATCATAATACTTTATATTTTGGGGAACCTTCCAGGAATTCAGTCGATTTTGTAAGTACAAGTTACATTAGATGTCCTCAAGTTTATCACTAAACCACTTTCATAGTCCAAAACTTTCGAACCTCGGTGCTTAAAATGGAAGCATAAAGGTCAGATTTGGGTGGGTATTAAGGGCTTAGTGGGACTGTCAAAAGCACTAAATATCCTTAAGCCTTTATGTAGTCACACATTTAAAAGGTCTTCTTCAGAGGTGCTAAACATCCTCATCTCTTGGGGAGTACTCAGACTTGCTTTATAGAGGTGCATGGCAGATTAATGTGTAGAGACACTCACTGCTCTTTGCAGAATGACTTGGAGATGAGAGTGCAGAACAACTTACAATGAGAAGACAGTGCTTTTAAAAAATGGAGTTAAGGAATCACAGGTTGTCTTCACAGAATTTTGTAGCCGAAATCCTATTGGATGTAAATAGAAACAATGTAAGCCTTAAGTTACAGCTGTCGGTTGCATTTGTAGTTCATGTTTGGCCTAGCCAGGGTGTCCAGCTCCTGGCAGGACAGTGGTTACAGCCTTGCTTCACCAGCAGGGCTCAGGAAGCACGAGTACAACTGACTGAAAACAAAGCATGACAATTTGGGGAATAGATTTCTTCCAAAAATGTATTAGTATTACATGAAAATGAGGAAAAAAACCCCATGTGCAGTAATTAATTTTTCTTGCTATAGAGGTATCCAAGCACTAAGCCCCTGTAAGGCATGTACTCATTAGACTAATATCTAGACAAGTTACTAGTAGTAATGTCATGGCTTTCTAATTCCACTTTTTTGAGAGGATTCACCTCCCTGACAGCTGCTTGAACTAATGCTACACAGAGAACGGAGCAAAACTAGACCTGCAGGTCTGCAGTGTTGGTATCAAACCCCTAAGCTAGAAAGATGTGAATATGTACAGTCTTCCAGAAGCATTAACTTAGCTTCTGGTATACAGCAGTACTTTAAAAGACCCAAATACATGAAATCACTTCTGCATCTCCTCCAATGTAATCAGAATGGCAGCAAAAGTCCCATTTTTCCATTTCTTGAGTGTGCCATTCTGCAACACAGGGCTCGACATAAGCCCAGCGGGAAGCAATGAGGGAATTGTGTGCCTTCAGCTTGTGTTGAAGTCAGTAGATGAACTTGCTCAATGCCTTTCAAAAGACACTCAAATCATACAATCTTGCCCTCAGTTTCACATCAGCATCAATCCCATTACCACACGAGAGGTGGATGGACTGAATTTTCAGGGCAAAACTCAAAATGAGTAAATTGCACAAGAATCCTGTGCACCAGAGTATCCTGAGCTTAGCCTATCGTCAGTCCCTCTGTTAGGCAGTGAATACAGTCCTGTTGTACATCTCTGGAAGCTCCCCATGTGGATAGGGAACGTGCAGATCCGGAAGCAAACTGCTGAGGTTTCACTTTAACAAAGTATGGACAGACGCTAAAGCACTTCAAATAAGAAACAATTTAAGCATGGGGATATTTTTCTCAGCTTGAAAATATTTTATGATGTGGTCAGTGGTGATAAGATATTCACTCAAGCCTGTCCCTTACTGATATCTTGGTTAATTTGTTGTGGTTTATTGCAATAGTTTATGCACCTTTTCTTAAAGCACATGAGTGCTGGTTTGCACATGACCGTAAATCCAGTTTAGAACAGAGCTAAGATTACTGAATATGTAATTGGAGTTATCAACAGGAAGACATGTTAGTAGAAAAGATACTGTTATGCATATCAGGGTAAAAATGTTACACAGTTAACAGTCTCTGGCTTAGCAATGACTGTGCTCCATGGAATGACACTGATCCCAAGCACAGCGATGTGCCAGAGGAAAAACCCCAATTGATTGTGTTGGGCTTTGGAGCAGTCCTGCAATTATTAACTGTACTACACTTTTTACTTATCGATAGGGATTAAACTGCATCGACAACTGGTATAGTCCCTGTGCCAGGTGCAACTCTCAGATGGGAGGTGCACTTAATAGGGAGAAAATCCAGCCTTATCAGAAGTTTTCTTTGACATTGTTGAAATTTCAGCAGCAAATTCAAGGACTAAATCCGATCCAATGGATTGATTCATGTCTGAGATCAGAATTTGACTTTCTGGCTTTAAGAACCTTTTTCTCTTTTTAGACTGGTAGAAATTAGCCATACTATCTCAGATGATTCTTCCATTGGAAATTAAAACCCCTTTGATTGTGAACTGATTATTTCCATTGTTGTAGTTGCAGAATGAGATTAGGGAGTGACAAGGAAACAGGGAAAAGCCCCTTTGTTACTGCTCAGAGGCCCAACTGTGGACCAAAGCTGTCTTCTTTTGTCCTTTCTAACACTACCTGTTGAGTAAAATCTCCTCTGTAGTTGGTGCAGGGCATTACTGAAGTGTGGCTGGGGAACAGCACACACATACCTGGGGTCTGTGTGGTGGCACGTGTGCTAATGGAGGCACAGAGGGGATTAGATGATTCTGTACAAAGTCATATCTGAGCCTGCACTCTTAGCTTTCTGATCCTGGGACACGTCCCTTTTGAAAGGTAGAAAGTTCTTGCAAGTCCATCTGGGACTTATGCTTCCTTATCCATCCAACAGAATGAGTAAAAGAAAATTATTTTGAACTAAAAGAAGTTTCTTAGTGGACATGAAACAGTGAAGAATTTGTTACTGATCTGGAGTTTAATCTGTTTTGTATTCATTTCTTTTACAATTATTTTTACATATTTCGCATATTTTCAGATATTCAAAAAACACTAAGTTCATTAAAGCTAATGCTCATAAAGGCATCACATCCTGCATTTTTACATTATGCAAGATGTAGATGGGGACCCAATAGCTTGTATGGGTGGTATTTCATACACTCTGCATGGGTGCAAGACTCTGAAACTCAGGCTACAGCCTGAGCTACAGGAAAAAAAGCTGAATATGAGTAACTCCTGCCCAGTTTTCCTGCCCTGCTCTTTGGCCAGGCACAGGCTGTAGTGCTGTAAATTCACAGTGGCTTAGGCTGCTCCCTTTTCCCTTGGTGCCTTTCCCTCCACAGAAGTGGTATTTTGCTCCATAAACAGCTCTTGCAAAATGCCAAAGGAACATTTTTCTAGCTCTCTGCCACACAAAGGCTCTGTAATCATACTCCAGATCTGTCATAATAGAATAGGAGTCCTTCTCTGTTTTCATCCCTGTGGCCCTAAAGCTGCCAACCCAGATTAATACTGCAGTGCAGCAATGTTCCCAGGCTTTCTTGAATGCAGAAAGACTTCAAGTTCAGAACTCGAGTCCTACAAATTAAATGTCTGCACAGGAAACTTCCTTCTAAAAGGTGCAAAGCCCATTTAATGGAGTTCTGAACAGAAAATTCCATAGTCCAGCTACCTTTCAGAGAAACATGACTTCCTCAGTGAACTGTTACTGGTCAGTACTATATCCCTGCTTTCATTATTTAATTATGCTTCTAAAATTCCAGTCTTTTTGAAACAAGTGTTTGATGGTTTGTTGATGTTTGGCCCATGGGCAAACAGAGTTGAGAAAATGGGGGCTGTAGTCTGGACAGTTGACATCACATGTATTTCTGTAGCAGCCCCAGTTGTGTTATCACTTACTGTCTGTCCTCTCCTTGAACCAGAAGGAATTGTTCCAATAGAATCCTCCTAATTATTAAAACTTAGCAAAAGATGCACACACAGGGCTATTAAATTCAAGTGTTTCAAGATATGATTCTTACAAATGGGCAAGTACTTCCCTTAGGGGTCTGTCTGTAGAAACACTGTTTGCTGGTACACAACACAGATGGAAAATAAATTATCCTCTGGGTTTCAGAACTCTTAGCAAGTGTTCATCATCTTATAAAGGTCAAAAATCAGATTTTAAGGGTTTTTTTCCACTTTTAGCGACACTGACTATCAGCTATCTGAAACCTACACTCCAGGAACATGCTATTCGAAAAACGTTAGAATAATACTGTTTAGTCACAGACCTAAAAGCACAGAGTAAAAATGGGTAAGCAGAACTGTCCTTATTTTCAGATTGAGAAATTCAAAGGTTGAATGACACGTCCTCGGTCACCTGAGAAGCAGGTGCTTTCAAAGGATTACCCCATAAAACTATCCAAATTTTAGTTTAGCATTTCTTCTGGTGTAACTCCTTTTTACAACTGTGCTTAGAAAAATGGGAACTAAATTATCACTTTTGTTCTGAAAAAGAATCAAGCTAGGAAATAAATACGGATTAAAAGACTGGTATATACTTACGTGAGTGATAGCAATGAGGAACTGTGCTTTTCCTGTACCTTCTTCATTAAATTAAACAATTTCATGTTAGGATTAGCATTTTCAGGTCAAATTGAAATCCCTCTACCTTAGAATCATAAAATTGTAGAATCATTTAGGTTGGAAAGATCATTGAGTCCAACTTTTAACCCATCCATAACACCCAAACCACGTAGCTTTGTTCGAAGTGCTCAGAACAAATACCAACACTTTATTGATTGCACAGGCAGGAAACAGCAAAGCTACTTGAAAGTGGCTGTTATGATTTTGTGACTGTACATAGATCTTGCAAAATGTTAATGGTAAATATGCATTCTGTACCCCACATAACCACTGCGAGCATAGCATGGTCATTGTTACGCTTTATAGCTGTTGTGGAAAATGTCTTAACCTGCATTCATGATGGTAGTGCCCATCCTATTCCCATGCCTTTTTATACAGTTGTGGTAAGATTGTTATCAACTCCTTTTGTCAGTCATGTTCCAGCTAACTTACCTATGTATAGAATTTATATATTAAGCCCCCCCTAATTTATACTGTGTTTTAACAGTTTGCCTGAACTGTCTATGGTTTCTAAATTTTGTAATGTGAGTGTCAAATAAGAATAATAATTAAAACCAAAACCAAACAGCTTGGCTGTGTGGGTTTTGTTCTTCAGTTTTGTAGTAGAGATTTCAACAGCTGCAAATCTTCATAATAACCTGCAAAGAAATTCAGGTTGCTTTGAAACTCCAAAATACAAAGATGCCCCTGACTCTGCACAATAAATCATGAATATGTTTGTAGGCAGAAATGTATCTATGGTTTCTGCTCTTCCTCGTTTCCACTTTGCTGCTTCTCTCTTCACCCTCACACATTCAGAACATTGCACTGAAGGAAAAGAGATTCTCAGTTTCCATAATAAAGCATTTTCCCAAATAGGAGTCATAGAATGGAAACTTCTTCATAAGGAGAGCAAAAAGCTAAGACTGGACCTGAGTATATTTAGTTTGTTCCTATAAAACTCCATGGTACAAG